GGGCTGGGAGCAACCTGGTCTGGTGGAAGGTGTCCCTGCCCATGGCAGGAGTTTGGACTAGATGATCTTTAAGGTCCCTTCCACCCCAAACCAGTCTGTGGTTCTGAATCACTGAAGTCAGCACCGTATGTGAAAAGCAGGTGCTCTCCGATGGGCTCTGTTCTTGCTTGTTGAAGAAGCTTGAGTGTTCATAGTCAGCGAGATGTGAGGTTGCAGCAGAAGGTGGTGGTTTCTTCAGTAGGACAGTCGGGCCCTGGCCTGATGCAGCGGGTTGCTCAGGGCAGCTGACACGATTGAGCTTTTTTCTCTCAGGAAGAGAAATAGGAGGAGGGAGAAGAAGGTAGAAGGGAAGAGGTGGTTAAGTCTGCAAATAACTATATAAGTTACTGTGAAGGGGTAAGAATAGCCTGGACTCCATAGTTCCTCAAAATCAGGTGAGAACTAGCATGGTTAAATTTTGACGAAGGGGATCTCAATGAGGCAGTAGGAAGAATGAGGAGGATGGTAGGGTATTAAACCAGCAAGTTATTCTTCAGCTGATTTTTGTTAAAACTTGTTAAATTTTTAATGGATTGTTTTTTAATTATTGAATAATAAATTCTGCTCCTATTCCTTTTGCACTATGTTGGTGATATTTTTTCCACCTTCAGACCATATTGTTTATTTCTGCTTGCTCATTCGTGTTTTCAGACTGTTACATTACTTTGTGAGAATGATTCCTTTATCACCCAGCAGTTTTATCTAAGAGTCTTTGGCGAGGAACTTTGTGGAATAATCTGTTTGAATCTTCATGATTCATGTGCTTTCACTGATGCCTTCAGAGAGCCCCAGTTGAGCCGAGGGGTTTTCATTTGCAAAGATGAAAATAATTTATATTAACATATTTGTAATTCCATCATCTTGCTGTTTGCCAACAGTCATCTTGTCTGAGAATGTTTTTATCTTCCCAGTTGTTTTCTTATCTGGTAATTACGTCGTCATTAATAAGTAGCAGATAGAAGGCATTGTCATCTTGGACTTCAGCTGGCGGATTTATACCTGTCACTGTCAGGTGCTGGCTTACTGCTTAGCACAAACGTTAAAGTTTTGCGTGCATGAGTGAACGTGGGGAAAGGTGGAAGTAAGGGTTAAGAAAGTAAATGGTAGTAGACCCACAGATATCACTTGACAATCTGCAAGAAAGTGAATTGGCTTGGTTTTGAAATGTATTTAGGCTTTTTTTTAAAAAGAAAAAGTTTTGGAATTTTGCGCTAGTGGTTGTTAGTATTGTCATTTACTGAAGCAAACTGATGAGCTAGGATACCAGTTCTAACCCATGAGGTATTTTTCGTGGTGATTTCACTCCGCTGTGAATTTACAGTAAAGTTTTTGTTAAGGTCTGCCCCGAAGTGGTAGTCATGATTTGTAATTAAAACGGTTTCTGTTCCTAGGCAAACTTCAGCTGTTCCCTCCCCCGTGGGCTGTTTGCTTGTTTGTTCTTTCCCTCAGCTGCTGACAGGCACCGCCTTTACACAGAGCAGTTGGATATGTCAAACCAACCTTTTGAAATATATTGAGGTCAGGACCTAAATTTTTGTTGTGTTTCTTTTAAGAAGGTGGTCTGTTTATGGGAAATACTCGGGGGAGAGTTTGTGTGTGATTTTGAGCTTAAAACCGTTTTGGAATTAAGAAATATTGTTGGAGCTGGCAAGATTTAGAGACCACAGTGTCACTTGTCACGTCGCTCTGGGAGGCTGGAACATTTTAAAATCGATGTTTCTAGCTTTTGTCTTTGTAAGATATACATGCACTTTAAATTAGTGGCGTGAGAATAGTTTTCTTTCTGGTGTTTGTTAAGGAGTTCTCTCTTCCTGCAAAGTGAAAAATTCCTGTCTTGAGTTCCCCAGCACCAATGGTGGCGGATTCCTGTGGGTGCTTTTGGATTTGCAGGCCTTAAGTGTGTGGGAGCAGGGGGTTATAGAAGGGGTCTGTTGCAAAGCAGAGATTCAGACAGACTCCTTTTTTTCTAAGAACTTTCTGCTGTTTGCATGCAGGCATCTTAGGGAGTCTGGCTAGGGTGCTCCGTACGTGGAAGGTGACATACAGGCTGACACTTCTCAGAGGGGTGAGGGCTGCCTATCAGCAGCATTACGGGGACAAATAATTTTTGGACTGTGAGAATTCTCTGAGGTTGAGGTGAGACGGGGTAGACACTGATCGCTTGCTTCTCGGGTATGAGGAGCAGAGAGCAAAGGAAGTGACAAATTGTCTCAGGTTCCCCAAGACTGATGCCGTTGAAAGTTGCTGTGGGTAGGAAATGGGATACCTCAGGAAGGAGCGGGCCTTCACGCTTTAGCTTGTGGGATGTCTGGATGCCATCCCCACTCTTACAGAGAGGTGGGGAATAATATTTAGCAGGAGCATTATAGCATGAGAATGTGCCTGATGGAGCTCTTCAGGTGATTACACTGTGAAGCAAACTGTTCAGCTGAGGTAAGTCACTCCAAGAGGAAGGAAATGCAATGGAATCCTTTGGTTGAAAATGGTGATTGTACATGACATCCCCACTCTTACAGAGAGGTGGGGAATAAAATTTAGTAGGAGCATTATAGCATGAGAATATGCCTGATTGAGCTCTTCAGGTGGTTACACCGTGAAGCAGTAAGGAGGAAGGAAGGTAAGTCACTCCAAGGAGGAAGAAAATGCAATGGAATCCTTTGGTTGAAAATTGTGATTGTACATGGGAATCGGTCACTTGAGATCTTTCTACATTAATGGAAATAAATACTAGAAATGGATTTCCTGTAATATTTATTTTGTAGGTGCGGTCACTTGAGATCTTTCTACATTAATGGAATAAATACTAGAAACGGATTTCCTGTAATATTTATTTTCTAGGTAACAATAAGTATTACTGTTACTCTGTTTTTGGTTAGGTAATGAAAAACACAGTATTCAGGTGGCTTCTCAACAAGAAGATGGTGAACCTACACTACAAGACATGGCTGTACTTATTGAACAAGTCACTGGAGTTCCGGTTCCTTTTCAGAAACTGATATACAAAGGTACCTTACAAATCCGTCAGTGTTTCTTACAGATGATACCTTTCATCTTGGTCACTTTCAGGTCCAGGTTTTGAATGTCTTCAAAGAGACATTCTTATGCCACTAGCTATGTTTTAACTGTTTTTTCCCTCTCTCGTTTTTCATTCAGGGAAGTCTCTGAAAGAGTTGGAACAACCGTTGTCAGCACTGGGTGTTAAAAATGGTTGCAAAGTCATGTTGATTGGGAAAAGGGTAAGTGTTGCCTTTGGACCTTTTTTTTTTTTCCCCCCTTAGTGTCATTTCTGTCAGTGATTCAGCTGCTGAACACAGAAACAGGATACAGCGTACACCTGATCTTGTACACCTGCCCACAAAGTGAAGTTCAATCTCACGTTGTGCTGCAAATAACTCTGCAGTTTGTACGTTCCTGAAATTACATTATTGACTGATTTCTGTGTTACATTATTGACAAAATTCTGCCCAATCTGTTGCTTGTCAGTGCTTGTAGACCTTCTATGCACTGATGACCTTATCTGCTCATCTTATTTTTCTGGTTTAAAAAAAAAAGCTGTAGCTACTGAGTCTGTGAAATGGCTTGTGGCTGGTTCTGGTAACTAGAGGACAAGGCAGTGTCTCGTGATATAAACATTACCTCCAAACATGCTAAGCTAGCAAACAAAGTGTGCATTTTTTCCTTTTAAATTCATCTCATTTTATGTGTTTATATACATTCCCTCTTTGACTGTATTCGTCATTAAGCTTTGGAAGAAGCTTATTTGATAGGTATTAAAATATGGAAAGAATAACCACAATGTGGTGTGTATTTTAAATCAGCAGAAGGCTTTATGTCTGTATCACCGCTGTTGCCGCTTTGTAGCTGCGTAGTGTCTCTATTTGTTCCATAGTTGTGAATGTTGTGCTTTTGAATACACAGAATAGTCCAGAAGAAGAGGCTGAATTAAAGAAGTTAAAAGATTTGGAGAAGTCAGTGGAGCATATAGCTAATAAGTTAGAGGAAGTTAATAAAGAGTTCACAAGTATCCAGAAGGTATGTCAGTTTTCTATGACTTTATATCTCTGCAAAACAGTTTTGTGGGTGTATGTATTTAAAAAAAAATAGTTTAAAGGCTTTGAGTAGTCAGTATTAGGCTGCCCCTCCTAACTGTCCATGGGTCCTGTAAAATTTTTACTGGATTTCAAATGTGTTTTATGAGTTTGCAAAATAGAGACATGGCACTGTTTGGAAAAAGGTAAATATTGATGCATATTGGATAAATTATATTCTTGAGATCTGGAAAAACACAAAGAGTTCTCTCAAAGTCCGAAGGAGAATGTCTGTTACTTGTTTAATCTTTTAAGTAATCCTAGCAGATCTTACATTTAGCATTTCAAGGAGGGATGGAATACAGGTTGAGATTGGAATCCCCACCATACTTGAAACTGCAGAAATAGTAAAAGGTGCTTTCTGCTGTGGCGGATTGACAGATGTTCTAAGCTGAGTGTTCTGCAGGGTATGGAATAATTTTGTCTTCCCTCTTTTTCCTCCTCAGGGATTTTTAGCAAAGGATCTCCAAGGAGAAGCACTAAAGCAGCTGGACAAGAGGATAAAAGGAACTGCAGAGCAGTTCATGAAGATCCTGGAACAGATTGATGCCATTGTAAGTAAATAACCACAGAAGAGGGTCAAATCCCAACAGAAAATTGCTGTTGAGAGTATATCTTTCTTGTCATTTATTTGATATTTTAAAATACTGAAAAATTTGGTTTGGCTTTGAAAATTGGTTAATTGGTTTGCTCATTTTTTCTTCAATATCCAGCTCTTGTCCCTGTATGTCTCCAAAAGGCTACTTGGCAGCATCTCTTTCTAAATGGTGACATTAATGCCTGTGCATGCATCCCCATTCTACAGAAGAGCTTCATTTGGGGCAGCAGCCTGTTAAGACTACATGAAATGGGTATCCTTTACTCAAGTTTTACCCTTTTAGTTTGTCTTGGCAAACTTTCATGTTAAACTTCACGGTGACAGTGAAGGTCTGGAAAAAACCCCAGCAGATACACTTTGTGTTGTGTATCACATATGAACAAGGAGGTCCTGAAGGCTGAGGAGTTTTCTGGTCAGTCGTACGTGGACTGACAGTACTTTCACTTGAGATGCCCACATATTGAGGACTAGATGCTTTTTTGGAATGTAGTGGGGTATATCCAAGTGCTTCACAGTCATTAATGGATCATAACCTTACAGCATATTTCCAGAGTATGATATATACCTTCCTGTATCATGTAGTAGCTGAGAGCTAGGTGAGAATGAGGGACGAGTGCAGAGATAAATAGAAGATCGTGGCAACTGAGGTATTTTCTTATTCCCTTTCTCTGTCTGCTGGTCATTCTCTGTGAACTTCACTATATAATTATGTTGCATATCACCATCGTAACATCCTGCTCTGAAGGAAAAATGCTGCTTTTCTGTGGGAGTGATGTCTTTGGGTCTACACCTTTCTACAGGGACCCTTTATGGGATTGTTTCAGAAGGATTCCATGCAAATGCCTGTAATTGGTGAACCCGGTGTAATTTAATTGATGGACACTTTGAAAAAGTTCAGCAGCAGACTAAATCAAAGAGCCGTGATCTGAATTGGGCATCATCAAATGCTGTACAATGTGGGTGTGTTCCTAGGAGCGGTGGGGAGCTCAGCAACCTATTTCCTCTCTTTATATTGTGCACCTTTAATGGTAAACTAGCCTTTGCTGTTTGTAACAGCCAACAGTTCTTAAAGACTTTTTAAAAAGTGTGATATGCTCAGTATTTTAAAGTCTTAAAATTTCTCTTTCCTTTTCTGCCTTGTATAGAGGAAAATACATTACTGACAATTCTTGAATGCTGTTGGCCGTACAGGCTTCCTCTGACTGATTCCCCGGTGGAAGTGGCAGATTTACTATGAGTTATCATGAAAACAGCAGTAAGGTGACAACTGTTTCACTTGGATGGGATTAAAGCTTGTTGCTGATCCCTTCAATTTCTGATCCTGAGTCCTATTTAGAAAAAAGTCAGTGCTTGTATGCTGGTATACAGCTCTGAAACCCAGCAAGCAGCCTTGGAAAACCCTTTCAACGCTTCCTAATTACTCCAAACTGAATCTCCCAAGTTTACTTTTGATTCTGCTACTTTTTGCATGTCTTAAACTGAAAGCATGCTATTATCTACCTCCTTATCCAAAATACTCTAAAGAGTACTGGGCAAGGGACTTTCAGGTTTAGTGCAAGATTTTAGAAGACTTATGATCTAGTGACCTTGTTTCTCTGTGCCTCAGTTTTGTCTCTTGTGGAAGTGGAGCAGCCAAAGCTAAAGCAAATTATAATGAGTATCTTTTAATATTTGTAATAGTTGTTTGTTACTTTATTGTATGAGAGCCTATGACATTGATGAGCCTCATTTTTTTTAAAGCTAGAAATAAGTGAGGGGTTTTATTGCCAGTGATTGGAGTTACGTTAAACAGTTGTGTTAAACATACCAAAGGCCGTATTTATTTGTTTTAATATACAAAGGCAGCTGTGGTTGTTGTCGTGAAAACCGTGAAACTTCTGTGAAATTTTGCAGATGTGATACATGTAGTTGGTGGAATCTTTGCTTAAAATGTAGCTGTTCAGTGTACTGGTGTGACACCAGATCAGGTGAACAGGCTACCAGCTTCCTGAGGTATTACTTAGCTCTCTGTAGTTGTGCAATATACAGAGACAGCAACACGTCACAACGGTAATGAGGTATGTATATGAACAATAAATGAGTTCACTGATGTGAAAAATGGTAAATAGAATGCAAAGCAGAAAAGCGTAACGCTTCCAGAAAGTATTTTATCTGTATCTCAGAATCGTTTTATATGATATTTGGTATTCTTTTGTTAGCCAAGTAAAAAGCAGGGTCTGACAGAACTCTTAAATGCTATTGACCATATAGATGTGCTGTTGATTCAATCAGCAGCATGATAAAAAAAAGGTAGGGGGGAAAAAAGTGACTGAGTGAGCTGTTTTCTGCTGAGGCTGAAGAGTGGGTGCGTTGTAGAAGTGAAATGTACCAGCAAGCTCTTTAAAGGGTCTTGGCTGTCATACGTTGTTTGGATCAATCAAAGACATCTAGGCTGGTACAAACTGAGATTTGCGTGGTTACAGAGAGGCAAGGGTGAGGAAGCCTGCGTATGGTTTTCTAGCTGTTCTAGAGGTGTCACCCCCTTACTGTTAGCAGGCAGGCTCGCTAATTAGAGGAGCTACTAGAGGACACTCCTTTTTACTAGACTTCATGTATTCAACAACTATGAATGTAAAAGAAGTGACTTAGGAAGTGGAGAAGTAGGTCAGTAGTCATACAGTATTGGGGTGGGAGAGGAGTAAATACGGTGTTGCCTCTGCCCGAGGTGTGAAAGGGAAGTCTAGAAGGGGTGCTTTTGGGTGTGTTTAAATAGTCACTGCTTCCACAGCGGGAAGGGTGGAGGGATCTTAGGAACATCTTACAAATTGTTCAATGCTGTGACACAGTCAGACATTCCCATAAGCCGCAGGTCTTTGAGGTTTTCTTGAGGAGGAATACAAATTGAGTCTCGTTCAATAGTTGAAGGTTTGTGTGTGCCGTCACCAGAAATGCCATTCATTTCAGCAGGTAAAACATTTGATCCAGGAGTAAAAGTCAAAGTATGCTATAAATCTCAGGGAGCAGAACACAGAAAATCCTTGACTTGATCAGATGGCACAGGTTTTTAAATAACTGAAAGGCTTTTTCAAGAAAAAAAAAAAAAAAGGAAAGCTTTTCTGAGATCAATGGAAAATTTAATTCTACAGTCATGACACTGTGTCCTCCTTGTGAGCCTGCTCTAATTTACATGAAGTCTGTCACCAGTATTGCAGTCTGAGAGGTTACCATGTTCTCCCGGTGATTTCATGTTAATTGGCAGATTAGTAATCTAGAAAGACAATATTGCAGAGAACAGATTATTCTAGCAACTAAAAAAGAGCTTCCTTTTCTGAAATACCAGTCACTGATTTTGTTCACATAAATTCATGACAGAATCATCTGTCAAATTGCATGTATCAGTATTGATAACATTGCTGACTCAATTATGTTCTGGTGGCCCATTTCTTCCTTTCTTGGGGATTTTTTTTTTTTTTTTGTAATTGCTCTATAAAACTCAAGTTACTGTACTGTTCTGATGAAGCTTTTTTCAGTCTCCTTGTCCCTGGTATAGTTGTTGTCTGGTAAATCAATCCCAGATTAACATTCAAGGATTAAAAGAAAGTAGTATTCTGAAAAAAATCATTGCGCCTGTAACAAATGTTTCCCAGGCTTCTGGGATGTTTTGCCACTTAAAAATATGAGGACTTCTTACTAAACCTTCGAATTTATCTGGATAAATAAACATTTGATAAGCATTTCTTATTATAATTCTTAAGTCTCTTAGCATGAGTCGTAAACATAGAATCAAAGCTTCGGGGGAAAATTTTTCTAAAACACAAGGAGCATGAAAATACTGTCATCCCCCCAGTGAGGGCAGAACGCTTAGTTACCAGTTCTGCGTTCAGAAAACCCATTGATAAATGCTGCCGTTTAATAGCTGCTTTTAAAGAAGCTGTTCAGATGTCTGCTTTAATGGAAGAAGATTCAGTGTCAGCATAATGTGGTTACCCAGTTTACTAATTTATTTAATAATAAGTTAAAAAAAGTGAAGGGATGGTAGTTGATCAAAACTACACACTAAAATATTGTATATAGTTTTGGATTTTTCAAAGTAACCAACAAAAAGGCTTCTTGTTAGATAGATGAGGTGTCAGCAAAAAATCCTTTTTTTGCAACTGATTATCTTTGGTGCCATGTGTAGCAGAGGGATTTTTATTTTTTTTTTAAGCAATCTGGTAACAAACCAAAAATGTTCCTGGCTGTTGTTGCTAGATAACTGCTAGTGTAGGAGATTGCCTCTTTGAACAATGGTGTCTGATAAGATAGTGGTAAATAACAAATTTGACTGGCGTTTGTTTTGTTTATTGACTGACTACACTGCTATAGAGTGGACTCGGGCATCCACTTTCTGCGATCTGTGGTTTGGGAAATAAGTAACAAAAGAGGAGAACAAAGGTGTCGTGGTAACTCTAAGCTTAAAGATTGTTATTGGAAGCACTTCCAAAACAAATGGAACCTGAGCAGAGCTGAAGGTGATGTTCTGTGGCAAAGGGAGGTGGTTTTATTACGAGATCAGCTGGGAGAGGGGGAAGAACTGACAGGAGAGTCTGTATTTTGTAAAAAGCAGTGCTCAGGAAAGAGGGGTGCTGGGATTGTAGTTAAAAGAACAGTCGGAAAGAGAGGAGCTAGAGGCAGGATAACGCACACGCGTGAATTTATTACTGTGTAAAGGGTGGTTGGTTTTAAGGATTTCTTGTATAGAGCATGAGTGTTGTGCATACAGAAGATGAGTCTGTGCAGTGCATCTGGTCAGTGTATCTGCAGGGTGAGAACTCCCCAAGAGATGTGGTTAAGCAGCTCTGAATTCGGGGGTGTGGGGTGGGAGATGGCCACCAGTAATAGGGGCTGGGGCTCTGTTTCTGAGGCGGGGGGCTAGGGTAGAGAACCTGTGCTGAGGAATTCTGCTGAAGTTGCTGGCGTGGAGCCGGCACTGCAGTCAGTTTTGAAGTTTAAGACCATACAGCCCAAGGACTGTGAGACTTTGGGCAGGGTTTTGTCACAGAGCAAGTGCAATGCAAAGAGGAGACCTGCCGTGAAAGTAAGAAGATGCTGCGCAGTGGAAAGCCCTATGGCGATCCAAACCACTGCTCTGCAAGCGGTGCTAGCACCAAAATGTAGGTTTGGCAAGGGTTTGGCATAAGCAGTGCCTAGGCTTAAGCTACTCCTTCTTTAATTAAATTTTATTTAAATTAAATTTGGAATTGTTATTGTGACTTAAGGTTTATTGCCAGCTTCACCTGTTAAACCCTGAATAGTTGGACAACGTATTCGTGGAGAGGAGACATAAGCTGACTAAGGTAAAACAGAGAGACCGTTAGATTTAATTTGATGTTAAGATTTGTAAACTTTACTAACTTGATGGCAAAACACCTTTTAAACAGCTGATAAGTTAGTACGTGTAGGCCTTCCAATTCCATGTCTCTGCCAAGGGAATTGCAACCTGTGATTTTAAAAACCCCACATCTGTGTGGGTGTGCAAGCAGATATTGGAGTTTGCACGCAAAGATGTACTTAAAAAGAACAGTTTTGAAAAACGTTGTCAAAAATAGAAATAGTCTGAATGTCTTCTCTACACTGAGATTTCAAAGTTTCCTCCAGTTACCAATCCCTGCTTTAGAGACAGGCTTTGGGTGCTAAGCCCAGCTGGAGTTCCCTGTCTGCTATTGAAAGTTAACTTAGGCCTATTCTGATGACAGAGAATTGTTTGTTAATTTGGTGTTTCAGATTGGTAGGAATACTTGCATAGGCCCGAATCTCCTTCAGAAAATACAGCCTGAAATAAGTACTCAGCAGAGGGAGATGGGCAGTGTAACTGAGCTAGTGCATAATGTCATTTTTAATTTGATTATTAAGAAAGTCCAAGTCATGGAAAACTTCCAGGCAGAGTTATTTCTGTGACAGTGAGAGAACATCTTCATTTTCTGGTGAGAATCGGCCATTAATAGTTAGGCCTGACCGATCTTTGTTCTTTCAGGCTGTTACATGCATGGAGTCGAAATAGTACGCAGCAAATACTCTCTTTATGTTAAATGTTCCTTGTTATATTTTGGCCATTTTAAAAAGGGAATTGGGTTGTCGAAAACCAAGGGAAAAATAGGAATGTTTCCTCATGTGGTTACAGGGTCCTATGTCTAAGATCCCTCGGAACAGTTCATATAAATTTGCAATATTTTGTAAAACTTTTTTTTTCCCCTGGGACAGCTATAAGTACTGCGAAGGCTGCCTTTTTTATTTGTGACCTAGAGCTGCTGTTCGAAGAGAATTCACCCACAGCTTTAAACTAACTTCTCAATTGTTTTGTAATGCCTTTGGAGCATTCCGTTTCTGCAAGAAAAGCACGTAAAGCAACCTTTTCACAGTGTCCTGCTTGTTGGGAGGAGACATGCAGGGGCAGCATGCTGCAGTGAGCGGGGGCTTGTTGCAGTACACAGTACTACAAGATACACTTTGTAAAAAGCAAAGTAGCTTCCAAAATGAGCAAGTTAAAAAAGCTGTGCTTTGGAAAATGGACATATGCCACCTGGTAAAAAGGAGTTTTCATTTTGGGCAGGCTGTCGTTGAAAAAGTGATAACAGCTTCTGAACCCATCCTGTGCTGTAAATCCAAGGAAGAAGGCGACATTACATGAATGAACAAAGTGACTGGTGTAGAAAGGCTCCTGTAGGAGACTTTACATTGTTCATGACAGATTCCTGGCATTAACCTGGTAACTTACTTTCAGAGCTACTTCTCCTCCTCTTTCTCACAAAATAAGAGAATTTGGAAAGGATAGATAGGTGATGGAATGCATCTTAGAACAAACTGAAGAGTGTTTTTGGTAATAAGAGGATTAACATCAATTAGAAAAAAACCCAAAACTGTAACTGTTAGGTTTTAGACATTTCTGTCCCTGCTTGTAAGATAACACTGCACCAGTTGTGTTTGGAAGGGTGTCTCCCTTAATCCCCACACTGACCTCTTGTGTCTCTGATGCTGATAATCATTTTTCCACTTGAAAGAAGTATGTCCAGTTTCTAGTTCTGTTTCAGGAGATGCAGTCTGACATAAAGGCTCTCTGCAAGGGAAATACCTTTTCTGATCTCCAAGGGAAGTGTTAAAAGTCGATAGGAGTTTTATCCAGCTTGATAATGCTGCTGTTTGAGAAAACTGGTACTGGAGCCACAGAAATGGAAGGTGGGACTACAGGAACAGAAGTTTCTTTCTCTTACTCATCTTACAAAAGCAAACTAATAAAATAAACCAAAAAACCTGACCCTGGGAAGAGAGTAGTAGTAGTTACACCCACTTCCAACTTCCATGCTCTCCTCGGAGACAAGCAGCAGCATTGTGCATTCCTTTTTCCAGCTGAGTGTAGGAGCGAGAGAGATTTTAGATCTGAAGTTTATGTAGAAATAAAATCACAGCACAGTTTGGGTTGGAAGGGACCTCTAAAGGCCATCTAGTCCAGCCCCCCTGCAGTGAGCAGGGACATCTTCAGCTGGATCAGGTTGCTCAGAGCCCCGTCCAGCCTGACCTGGAATGTTTCCAGGGATGGGGCTGCTGCCACCTCTCTGGGCAGCCTGTGCCAGTGCTTTTCCACCCTCACTGTAAAGAATTCCTTACTTATATCTAGTCTAAATCTGCCCTCTTTTAGTTCAAAACCATTACTCCTTGTCCTATCACTACTGTCCCTGATCCAGAGTCTCTCCCCACCTCTCCTGCAGCCCCCTTTCTGCACTGGAAGGCCGCTGTAAGGTCCCCCCAGAGCCTTCTCTTCTCCAGGTTGAACACCCCCAACTCCCTCAGCCTGTCCTCACAGGGGAGCTGCTCCAGCCCCACGAGCATCTTCATGGTCTCCTCTGGACTCGCTCGAACAAGTCCATGTCTTTCTTGTACTAAGGGCTCCAGAGCTGGACACAGTACTACAGGTGGGATCTCATGAGAGCAGAGGGGTTTTTTTGGTTGTTATTATTTAGATACGTATGTGTATATATATCTAATCCTCCCAGTGAGGCTTGCGTTTTATCTGAAACGAAACAGAGAGCAGTATAGGGAAACCTCTATTCTTGATATGGAGTTAGGGTGGAAAATAAAAGGTATACCAGTGAGAAACTCCAAGATTTTTATGCATCTTCAACAGTAAGAGCACAGGGTTTCTAAGAACGTTCACATAAACTTTGTATAATGATAATGATCTGTACAGGTGTTTTACCTGTTTCAAGAAAACATCGTAAACCTGAGCGCTGTTCCCCACCAGCACCCCAGTTTCACGTAGCCCCGAAAGGACAAAGCATGTAACATTTGCTAAGATGGCATACATGAATATATTGGGTGGTAGGAGTACAGAAAATGATGCAGTTTGAATTAAATTACAAGCTGTCAGCATTAACACTTCACATCTGTAGCCTTCCATGAGTAGATTGCAGAGAAGATGAGATGTACAGCTTAGGCTGGCAATGCCTCTGTTGCTGATGATGCATTCTAATGATGGCGAGTGATTGTGTTAATGTGTTTGTAAGAAATTAATTCATCTTACAGTCTGTGGAAAAAAACCCTGAAGTTGCAGCTCAGCAGACAAAAGCAGTGTATGTAGCCTTTGCTGTATGTTACCTAAAGGCACGTGGTAAATTTGCCAGCTCAGATCTTTGCAATCAGCGTGCTGCATCCCCGACTTTTTGAATTGATGACTGTTTCTTTTAAATTCTCTCTTGTGTAATCATCCTCACTGAGCAGGCATGGCATTTTGAGGATGTCTGTTCAGAGGATGCTTTGATACATCCAGTTTTTGCTCTAAGTTTAATGTGTTAATATCAACATTAATCCGCATCAACTTGTTTGTTTGTTTTACTGCAGAGTCTGCCAGAGAATTTCAGTGATTGCAAACTGAAAAAGAAGGGGTTGGTAAAAAGGGTTCAGGTGAGTTTTTTGGGAGTTTTTTTTTTGTTCTCCGTTAACGCTGGGCACTTGTATACCAAGAGTTTGTGAAAATGAGAGCTGTTTAGAGCTCAGATTTTTTTCAGTGTTTCTTCTTACATTGGTAGTTCCTATGACCTCCCCTTGAAGAGGTGTTTAATAGCTTTATAAAACAGCATACAGAAATACAGATTTTCATAGTTCATGCTGTTCTCAGATAATGTTTGTAATTCATATTAGTGGTTGGCCTTATGGCTGCCTGATGATGTAAAGGAACTCTGATAACTTGTAAAAAAAACCGGGATCATTCCTCCCTTCCTGTCTTGGTGGGCTGAGGTAATGAATGAGGTCTGGGCACAAGGCTGCAGTCAACCATAACTCCTTCTGAACCTTGCTGGAGCTGTTCTTTGGAAATTTAGCTTTTATTGCAATGTACCAACTTTCGGTGGAGAGAGTACGTCTCTAAAGTAAAATCTGTACAGAAGAGCAGTTGTGCTGCGGGTGGGTTTTTAAGTTGCTTTGCCATTGTATGATGCGTATAAATTCCTAGGCATTGTTTCCTTAGAGACTTGAACTGAAGGTTTGTTAATAAATACTTGAATTTGTCCTTTCTGCCCCCGCCCCAAAGTCAAACTTCCATAAATGAGTGGTAATGCTGCTCAAATTACTGGTTTTATTCATATTATGTGAGCTTCAGACCCAGGTTAGACCCCTGAAAATTGTTTGTGAAAGTACCTTGCATTCCTATGGAGTTGAAAAGTTTTGTCTTTTTCTGTAACCTTATTAAATACTTTCAATTAATATTTCCCAAATTTTTTAAAAAAGCTATTTGTTTTAGAGGAAGCCCTACCAAGAAGTACTTCATAGTAGAAATGGGGTTTGTTATAGCTTTAGGGGCAAAGCACTTTGTTACAGGGGTAAGTTCAGACAATGCAAATTGAAATGAAGATGGTTGGTGGCATAGCTGTGTTAGATGGGCTCTGAACATGCTTTTGATTCCACGTCCCTAACCAAAGCAGGAAAACCTTGTGACAGAGGTATGGCTGTAAACCTCATGGCAAGCTACTAGAGCTCCGCTCTTGGGTGAAGTTACTGCAGAAATAAGTGGGGCTTTGTGTCACAACTGCTGTTAAAGCATAAAACAGACAATGTTGAGCAGAGATCAGGATTGTTGATGTGCCTTTATAGGCACAGTGTTCTGCAACTGTAGGTTATGAACCCTTTGAGGACTGCAGAAGAATCGTAAGGGATTTAAGACCAGAGTTGTCAACAGCAATTTGTTCTTCTACAGCGAGAAAACGATGGCAAGTTATGCTTATTACTCTTTAAGTATTCATGAAAGCGAGGGGGAGCTATTAACTGTTGCTGGCAGTCATGTATCTTCCAGACTGGGGAGACAGATATATTTGCAGCCAGCGTGATGGTTGAGAGACAATCAGCTGGCCCAATAGTTTGCTGCTCTAGAGGGAAGGAAGTTTCTTAATGTCATTTTAATGTAAATAACTTTAAATATCTGGTTTGGTTGTTCAAGTCTAGTGCAGGTGTAGGAAAACTGAGTGCAAGATGTAAATAGATAGTGGGAGAGTCTGCTCAGAAACTGCAGTGCACTCATATGTTGGATTTGGCCTAAAAGACTTTATTTGCTTAAAGTGCTGGTGCGTTGTGCTGTGTACAGCACGAGCAGAGTGACCAGCGGCTGCTGGCTCTTAATTGCTGTGCGGGGGTTGCTGTAAGAACTCGTGGGCAGGTTCCAGGAAAGCTTGATGTGCTGTGGACTGCCCTTTTTGGAAGGGAGCCTTCTGTCTTTGGAGGCACAGCAGCTACTTGTTGATGAAGGTGGGGGTTCATGTGCCTTGAGAAACAGAAGAGGCCCTGGTTTAATGAAAGCTTGTTTTAGTCTTGACTGAGTGAGTTTGTCGCTCCCACCCTCGGCTACAGAAGTACGTGTTTTAGAAAGTCCAAACCAAAGGACTAACCTGTCTGAACCTTTACGATCCCTGTTGCTGTTTATGAACTTTGGACGAACTCAAGAGTGCTTCAGCGGCAGGACTTGGTGAGGCCGGGCAACCACGTTACTGCCGTATCAAATACCATGTCTCTGTTGGGATTCTGGGTAAACAAACGTGTGAAGAAGCTGTTACCAAAACCGAACTGGAAGGTAGTTGTTGAGTTGGCATCTTCAAATTCATCATGGAAACTGCAGTTTCTGTTCTTGAGAAGCACCTCCCATTGCTGTAACTGCATTCCCAATAACATTTGTTTGTTTCTTATTCTCAGGTTTTTCTTGCCCAGTGTGATACCATTGAAGGAAATATTGGTCAAGAAATAGACAAGCTACAGTCAAAGAATTTGGCACTGGCAGAATGAGGCATTGCCCTACTTAATTAGGAAACATAATTGCTCTATGAGCAAGAAGAAAAGTTTGCTCTTTGTTTTGGAGCATGTATTCAGCTTTTTTTTTTTCCTTGTCTTTTTTTTTAAAGCCCAGTCTGTTAGACTGGTACCAGTCAATCATTTCTTGCTGGTTGTCTTGTTTGCCGCTTGGTTAGACCTGTTCTTTTGAAAAGAAAATCCTTCCTGAAGAATGGCAGAAATAATCTTTGTGGTGAATTGTTATGTGTCTTATGGACAAATGTTTAGTGAACTAAGTTATAAAGTTTGCAGTGATGGGCAATTTTGTCTGATATGTCCTTGAATTTATTTACAGCTCAAATCAAAGAAGGTCTGTAATCGTACAGGTGCCATAAGTTGTGATTGTAGGACTTCAGCTTGATTGAAAAAGGCAAACTGAGACGACATCTGGGAAAGCAGAACATTCTAGTAGACAGTTCAGAGCAATAAAAACCCCAACCCTACGCATTTGTATCTACTTAATGTTTGTATGCATTTTTAAATATAAGAAAGCTTGACTATAAGGGAGTCGTACCTATTTTAGCCTTAAATTGTCATAATAAATGGAATGTACTGTAACATGTATGGTACTTAATTTTGAGTGGTGCTTTAAGTTGTAACTGAGCTCCTTGATACAGACATACGTTTTTTACCTAGATTTCTGATGTACGGTGTTTTTTATAGAATATTCTTATTTTTATTGTTTGTGTTCTGTCTTGAGTTATGGCGGGAAATGAAATGAGATTACTCATGCTGCTCATATACCAATGGTTCAGTTCAAGCAAGGTATAACAAAGGAGCTATGTTGAAAGGGTTTTTTATACTGTTTTTCTGATTTCACTGTGTTCATGAAGCTGTGTTTAATGGAAAATCGCAGTGATTATTTCTAGTCTGTTAAGGTAATTAGTGAATTTTTATAACATGTTACAAAGTGACACAACTTTATTTTAGCAATGCCGTGCATCTGAGGGTTATGACTGATTCTCGCAGTCGGATACGTGCCACGCTTAGCCTTCTGTGTTAGGCGAAAAATAAGCTTTTGCCGGAGACTGTGACTGTCAGCAGTTGCAGCCAACTTTGCAGTTGTTGGTCAGAGCCTGTAGCTGACGTACCTGAGGTGGGAGTTGCTTTTTCACTGGTGCTTCTGGTCGTTGGGTCAGTCGTACATGCAGTGGCTGGTGAGGTAGTGACTGGTATAGGAGCCTGTTTCTGTGGGGAAAAAAAAGCTCTTTCGTCTCAAATGCGTCAGACTGAGGATGTTTAGAAATGGCCCTTAGGTAGTGAGCCTTTATCCACATGTGACTGTTCCAAGATTAGCTGTCCTTTCAAGATAAATATAGGAAATGTGTGTAAAAAGATGTTAACTTTTAATAAGTCATAAACCTTAAATAAGACTTAAAGTATTATTATTAAAGTATTTTCTTTGATGTTTGTAGTTGGAGGAGCATTTTAGTGAAAAATGCCATTGGACAAATGAAGTGATAGCCCTGCATTAGAAAGGGTCACTTTTATTCTAAAAATGTGCTTTGACCATACGAAGGTTGGAGTGGCCGTATTTTTTACTGTTAACCCTTTTCTTCAAGGTTGTATTTTTTCCATATGTAACTCTCTTCTTAGCATCTGTGGAGGATTATAAGGTCTAAACTCCTAGGAAGCTTGTCTCTCACGTTAGGAGATGGTAATGTTTGGTAGGACTGTGGATATATTTTTCCTAGGCTACTAGTGTGGTCATGCTGCATTTTCCCAGCACTTTAAGGTTAGGGGGAAGAAGAGTTGATTATAGCCATTTTTGTGAAGCCCTGCCTAGCTTGGTACTGCTTCCGGACCGGATTCAGCTGACTCTTAAACCACCAGCAACACTGCTGCCTAATTCAGGGGGTGCAAAATTATCCACTTTCCTGTGACGGAAAGGATCCTCACCCTCTCAACGTGTAAATCCTCTAATGCATTGAACTTTCACAAGGGCGTGTATAATAAGCACAGTATCCTCATGTGCCCATGAAGAGAACTGGGAGCCGTGGTCATGGCTTGGACTGTGTCCGTTTCTGCTGCTCTTTAGTGTTTTTCTCTCTTGGGTGACAACACGAACAGGCAGACACCATCTTCCCAGCCCTCCTTCCCAGAAACTGCTGCTTCTTGAGATGTGCTTGTGAGTACATGCTCAGCCCCTCTTAAAGCCAGGTGGATTAACTTTGAGATGTTCCATAGTAGATCTGTTGATAATCTGGTACTTTGAGGCAAAGGGAGCGATGATGCTCCCACCAGCGCATCTGGATTCAGCAAAGGGTGGGTGTCCTGAGCTGAAGTGGCCTTACAGTGGTAACTGCTGGTATCGGGTTTCTAGGACAAAAGTATGTGTATGAAGACAAACTTTTGCAGTATAAATTTTTTTTTTTGTCTTCCAAATATAAAAATTAGTTGATTTGTTTTGGAAAATGGATGGTTGTAGAGTTATCTAAGATTTTCCAGAGTGGATTGACTTTTATACTGAGTTTTGAAGGAGGAGTCCTACACTTCATTTTTTCATAATAGCCTTAAATTTCAGTAAAAGCAAACTTCTGTGCTTTTGAAAAGTGCAGCAGACTACAATTGTGGGAGGAAGGGGAAGGAAGAGGAGATTTTAAATATTCTTCAGAATTTGTAAAGGTAAACGTAGATCTCAATCAAGCTTAAACTATATTCTTACTGATTCTGTAGTCTAGGTGTACCGTGGTACCTATTTTGCTACTGAATTGTTTCCTCACCCTGACCATCTATGCTGCTGATGTCAAAAGAGAAGTTACTCCCTTTTGCCTTAGTTGCACTTACCCCGTCGTCTTCCCCCAGTCGCTGTGTTGCTCTGGCCGTGTTTACGCACCTCGGACGTGCTGTCCGGGCGGAATGTCTTACCACAAAGTTTGTCTTTTATGAAAATGGAAATCAAATTACACACTTCCTCGCCCCGTTTTCTCCCCCCAGCTCCTGTAGGCTGGTGTGAGACGAACCAAACCTGCCGTTCAGGGAGCTGTGGGACGGTTTGCTCTCTGGGAACAGCGTCAAATACGCTGCTGGTGGTGGACCGAGTCCTCCTGGAGGTAATGTCGCTGTGAACCTGGAGTAACGCTTCTTTGACTTCTAATGGTCACTCGTGGTTTGGAGTGGAGCACTTGGCACTGTGGAACTTGGGGCTAGGGGTTTTGGGTTTTTTAGTTATTTCATTGTATGAGCATAAATGGAAAGATAAAAATAAAATATGGAAAGTTCTTTGCTGTCCTTGGTCATGGCGCGGTTGCTAAATGCTGCGGTTGGGCTGCGTTTCAGAGGGGGAATTGCGCGCTGCTCTCGGCAGGCGGGCGGGCGGCGTTTGGGAGCAGCCGCTGG